AGAGACAGAGACAGAGACAGAGACAGAGACAGAGAGAGAGACAGAGACAGAGACAGAAAAAAGAAAGAGAGAGAGAGACAGAGACAGAGACAGAATATCTTAAAGTAACTGCTGATATTTGTCTCGTCGCTTTGCTGTGCAAGTGTGGTGTGAACTTTGGGGACTTGCATGATCGCGATTTCAGGGTTGAATTGAGTTGGATCATTGCAAGGATCATAGAGATGGCTCCTTTCCATTCTAGGGAGCATCAGTCTGATGACCTTGTTCATGCGAGCATGAAAAGAAGTTTCTCAACAAAAAAAAAGACAGAAAAAAGAACCGCAGAAAAGGACTTCAAAAGAACCAGTCAAAAAAAAAAAAAAGTAAAAAAACAACAACGAAAAAAACAGCTTTCAAACCCCGCGCAAGCAAGTGAGTGTGTGTGTGTGTGTGTGCTGTCTCTTATACACATCTAGATGTGTATAAGAGACAGGACCATGCCTGCACTCCAAGATCTCCCAGCCCAAGAATCCGCTCCCCATCAGTGATAACGATGACTCGAACCCGCTTTTCAGGCCAGTTTTTCAGTATCTCGAAAACTCGCCCCCTGTCCACAGCTTACCCCACACAACATGCAAATAGAAACCCATCAACGACGCCTCGCCTGACATTTCGTCCTGCCCTCGCACTCCCTTTTTTTTTCTGTTTTTTTTTTTCAATGCTGGCAATGCATGCAGGCTTGACACTGAAAGACAGCTCAAAGAATTGGAAGAAGCCAAGTCAAGTTGATCCCGCACCAATTTTTCCTTTTTCCACTGGCCAATCCGCTGACGCGTGGTGGGTACATGCAAATGAATGCAGGTCAGTTAACGAGTTCAAATCCTAAGAGTGAACTGTCGACTTTTTTTGTGTACCTGTCGTTCCGTCTTAATAGGAAAAAAACAGATGCACTGCAGCCTCAGTCTCGAAATCATTTATTACTTTAGTACACGGAGGTACAAAAGATGCACCTTCCATCCTGTCTCTTATACACATCTAGATGTGTATAAGAGACAGGTCCGTGTCTCTTATACACATCAGGTCCGGAAATGTCCGGAATTCCGGACGTCCGGAAACTACCGGACACGGGTCCGGTTCCATGTCCGGAAATGTCTGGGTCCAGGTCCGGCGTAG